GGAATCCTTTTCTGATGGACACGACCCCACTGAATCACCTGCTTCCTGTGAATGCCTTGAGCATGAGCAATGGCTTTTCAGAGAAACTGGGCATTGGCTTCGTGTCCTCAGGTGGATTGTGCACGAGGCAGGGGCTGCCTTCCCTATTCCTTCTATCCCAATGAAGAGCTTCATTGAATAAGAGCTCAGCAAGTCCAGGGCGGGGGACTGACTCAAAATTTGCTGGGAAAGTCTCGTAAGTCCAAAAAGTGCAAATTAGGTCCGGAAGGAGCCATGTCCCTCAGTGGATTAGTGAGGAATACTGGGGCTGCAGGGACTGGCCGGAGCCTGAAACCCCAATGCTTAGCCATTCTGAGAGGGCGGGAGTAGGTTTGCTCTCTGTGTTAGGGGTGGCAGGGTGCGGTGTACCCAGTCGTCAACATTTCTGGGCTGCAGCTCTGCAAGGCATTTCACTTCCTTAAATCAGCTTTTACACGTGATGGTGCTCAGCTAGGTTGTTGTGAGATGATGATTTCCAGCTCATACGTGTCGTATCACAGACAAGAGGCTAATTTTAACATACAAACCACCTCCTACACATCAACTAAAAAAAAAAAAAAAAAGCCCATAACCCAACAGAGAGGGTGAAGGGTACAATCAGACAATTCACCGAAAAGAAAAATAATGAGAAACTTGTAAAGAGAAAGGGCAATGCGAGGTGAAACCACATGTCATGTTTCTCACAGGCAGATCGAAAATAATCAGCGTTGCCTAACTCGCGGTGTAGCTAGGAGCAGGAGGAAGCCAGCACTCTCACATGGAGGGGATCCTCTCGGGAGGACAATCTGGGGATGTCTATTAAAATGAAAACCCCACATACCCTACCCTACAGAAACTCATTCATGAGAAATCACCTGTGTAAAAGCATCCATGCAGCATTTCTGTAAGGTCCATGGCTTTAACACAACCTCACTGTCCATCTGTAAGTTGTTATTTAACTAAGCTATGGTATACTGAATTGCCATACAAAGCAACAGTAGCATCTTTTATTTTTAAATATATATATATGTGTGTGTGTGTGTGTGTGTGTGTATATATATATATATATATATATATATATATATATATATATATATATATAAAATTGATTTTTTTACAGAGAGGAAGGGAGGAGAGTCAGAAACATTGATGACTGAAACATCAATCAGCTGCCTCCTGCACACCCCCACCATGGACTCATGGGGTATCCTTAGGGAACAACTGCCTCTCACGATTAATCCGGATATTGGAGGCCTGCAGATTTCAATGGCATGTTCAAATGCTGGCCCTGTCACTGAGACGCTGGGCCTTATCGCTTTGTGCCTCAATTTCCTGTCTGTAGAGTGGAGAGAATAAAAGGTCAAGTGTTTGTGTTTATAAGAATTCCTGACATGTAGTTGGGAGAATCAAGTGTTTGTGTTTATAAGAATTCCTGACATGTAGTCAGGGATTGTAAATACTGGCTGTGGCTCTTTACCTCACCAGCTCACTCAGCCTCCCATGGGCTTATCACTGCCTACTGATTCTTTCCCTTTCTTTCTCTTTATTGAATTTATTGGGGTGACATTGGCTAACAAAATTATATAGTTTTCAGCCAGTTTGGCTCAGTGGTTGAGCATCGACCTATGAACCAGGTGGTTACAGTTCATTTCCCGGTCAGGGCACATGCCCAAGTTGCAGGCTCATCCCCAGTGTGGGGCATGCAGGAGGCAGCCAATCAAGGATTCTCTCATCATTGATGTTTCTCTCTCTTTCTCCCTCTCCCTCTCTCTCCTGACATCAATATAAAAAAAAATAATAATAATATATTATTAAAAAAAAAATATATATATATATATATAATTTAAAATTACATAGTTTCCAGGGTACATTTCTATAACACATCATCTGTATATTGTATTGTGTGTTCCACAACCCAAGTCAAGTCTCCTTCCATCACTATGTATCACCCCTACCATTTGCTCTCCTACTTCCCCCCACCCCTCCTTCCCGCTGGCAATCACCATGCTATTATCTGTGTCTACTGAGTTTTGGGGTAGTTTCCCCCCCCCCCCCCTTCTTTCACCTTTTTCACCAAACCCCACTACCCTTCTCCCCTCTGACAGCTGCCAGTCTCTTCTCATCTATGAGTCTATTTCTATTTTGTTTGGTAATCTATTTTGTTCATTAGATTCTACATATGCGTGACATCAGCTAGCCTTCCATTGGCTATTCAGGATGATCTATAACTTCGTTGCAGTTCTGGTTTGTTCACACCTCACTAGAACCATGACCAAATAAGGACTTCCTGTGTAGAAGGATGGCCGAGTAGTCTCCTTGGAAGAGCCTCCAATTCAATGAAAGCTTTAGTCTCTTAAAGGCTCAACTGCAACTGTCACAGGACCAGTCCCACGTGATGATCTGGGAGGGAAGGAAGTGTTAAAGTTTTAAGACAAGAAAGTACAGTATTGCTGTCTGTAGGTCACCTAGTAGAAAGGTCAGGACTAAGAATTCTCTGCTGGAATGTGTTTGTTTTTAATACTTCACAGCAAATTGAGATCCTTCAAGTGAAATAATAATTTGGTTCAAGAGGTGGCCAAATCTTCTGGCCTTCATTGCTGAACACGATGTCCTGGTCTACTCCAACTCATTCAATGACATATCTGTTGGAGGAAGCTTGACATTTTCATCGCTTCTTTTTTTCTGTCTTCAGATTGGTTGCCAACTGTTGCTAACAATGCAACAGGATGCAATCCCCGAGCAAAACTCACAGGACTTCATGAACCGCTTCTGTTGCATTGTGTCCTCTTCAGGAATTTGTCTTGGCTAAGCCCTTGCAATTATGATGTTAGATGTGAGCTGCAGAGGCCAATCTTAAAAGATGTAATTCTGGTAAATCCTGACAATAGCTGCCGTCCGGGGGTTGGCCATCTTGATTTATAAAGGACAGGATGATGATGATACTTGATGAATTGGATATGGTGCGTTGTGGTTTACAATTCACCCTCAGCTGCATGGTGAGCTAATAAAGTATAATTATAAGAAGAGAGTGAAGCCTAGAGACAAAGGCCAGATAGGAAACCGAGAAGCTGGGGCTCAAACCCACGTCTTCTAACTGGAGAGCTTGTGTTCTTTCAGTAACTCTACCAAGTTATGTGCTTTCGACAAAGACAAGAAAAATAAAAAGAATCTTTAATCCTTAACACACAGTGCACTGCTAAGCCTTTCTTTCTAAACCAGGCCAGGCTCTCCCTCACTTGCCAAAAAATGCATTTTTGATAAAAAAAAATAGATATATTCATCCTTTATATTTTTATATCAATATCTCTCTTAACACCAAAAGTCATTTAGAGACTTAGGGCAAGGCATTGATTTTCCTGCCTTCTCGTCTTCCCACTCCCCACCCCCAGTTCTAATGCATGGCTTTGCAGCTGCATGCCTACTTATTTCTCCCATCACCCAATGAGAGAAAACAGCAAAATAATAATAATAATAATAATAATAATAATAATAATAAACCAAGCCCGCATGTATGTTTGTTCATTTTTCAGAACTCTATAATTTATTTAGAAAACTAGGAAAAGATAGAAGACTTACTAAAATTTATTTTAAAGAATTGTTATAGCAAGTTTTTCAAATATGCTTCACCAAGTTAAGATGCTTCCGTACTATTTCTCAAAACTACCAGGGAACATCAGGATAATACTGGTTGGGGGGAAATTCATTTTCTGCAAAAACTGTCTCACCATTCAGGGCGAACTCCATGCTATCATTAGTTACAGATCATAAATGTGCAAGATGATAGATACACTGGCCTCATGGCCCCACTGTCCCTTTACTGACCACACCTAGCATAACTTGTAAATAAAGTTTGTATTTATTTTGTGTCAATTTGGTGATTAGCACATTCACACAATTATTAAAAAGAACCTTAGCCATTTCCCCTCCACAGAAACATTAATTTTATAATAAATATTGAGAAAATATGATTTAAGACTAAAAACTTATACGCAACTGATATTGATGGTCTTTATTAATAATTATTTTTCATAAGAGCATGAGCTTTGGAGTCAGACTTGAATTTTGATTTCACTACTCAATATATAAAATGATATAAAGACCTTACCAAATGTTAGTTATTTTTTCTAATAAAGGCGATGATAACTACCACTTATAAACACTATGCATAAAAAAATAAAAATAAGCACTATGCATGCTTCATGAACATTATTGCATTCATCTCTGTTAATTATTCAAGGAGAATTATTATCCCTACTTAATATGAAAACCGAGGCTCAGAAAAGGTTGAGAAGCATGCCTAAGGTCTGAACCCAGATATGTGAGAAACCACAGCACCGATACTACTAACCACCATTAAAAATTCTGTGGGGATATTCTGGGTACCTACATTAAAATTTGAAAACATTTATTCATAAAGATACATGTACCCCTATGTTTATTGCAGCATTATTCACAGTGGCCAAGACATGGAAACAACTGGCATGTCCTCTGAGAGATGACTGGGTAAAGAAGATGCGGTACATATACACAATAGAATACTACTCTCCATAGAAAAGATGAAATACTGCCTTTTGGGACAGCATGGATAGATTTTGAGAATATCATATGAAGTGATATAAGTCAGACAAAAAAATGTCAAGAACCACATGATTTCATTGATAGGTGGGATATAAAACCACATGATTTCACTCATACGAGGAAAGCAACAAATGAACAAATGAGGAAAACAAATAAAAACTCAGACAGTATGGTGGTCACCAGAAAGAGTAAAGGGTCAAGGGGGTCAAATATGTGGTGAGGGCAGGAGAACTGACCTTGGGTGATAAGCACACAATGCAATATACAGAAAGGTATACATATCGTACACTTGAAACCTATATAATTTTATTAGCCAATATCATCCCAATAAATGTAATTAAAAAGTTCTTGTGGGGAGATAGAAGGAGGGAGAGAGAAAAGGAAGGAAGTGTGTGTATGGTTAGTTAGGTCTACTAGGCAATCCTTATAATTTCTGAGTTTTTTATTTTTTTATATGACCTAGATTACAGATAGAACCTTCCTTGATTCTTCATGGGCTCAGGCAATCACAAACCAAGAATCAATCATCTACCATGAGGTTATACCAAATTGTCAGAACAACTAAAAAAGTCTCCTGCATGTTAATGATAATGACCATAGCTTAAGGGAACCACAATCAGAAACTTTTTAGCTAATCCCAATCTTAGTCTTTTTGGCCCTTAATACAATCCGTCCACTGCAACTAGAACCATCCAAGTCTCCTTTCTAATACTTCAAAATCTAACAGTTTTTGTTCATATAGTAGGCAATGTAAATTCTATATACATACATACACACTGTACCAAGGGAAACAAAAACAAAAAAAATGGGTTTTAGCTTATATTGAAGCTACACTTTATCGCTTTCCTATTAACTGTTGCAAAGAAAAGTTTAAACCATTACTTACAGTTTGAATTCATTAAACAATATCTGAACAAATAGAAAACAAATAGAAATAGCTAACCATTTTTGTCTACTAAAGTGATTATACTCATCCATCTCTACAAATAGGAGATATTTTAATCCTTCTAGATTTCAGATATTTGATAAAAAAATCTATATCCATTTTTCTTATCAAAAATATTCTGAAAATTCTCTGTTGACCACTCTCAAACTACTGGAGATGGATTGCTTAAAAAAATAAAAAATAAATAAATAGAGCACCAGCCAATGAACTAAGATATATATTAAAGCAAAATCTTTAACATATGAACCACTTTGGCCTCTGAACATTACAATCTAATAAAAACTGAGCTTTTTTCAAGAGGTTATTTTTGGCCATAACAAGTTTGGCTCAGTGGATAGAGCGTCGGCCTGCAGACTCAAGGGTCCCAGGTTCGATTTCGGTCAAGAGCATATACCTTGGTTGCGGGCACATTCCCAATGGGAGGTGTGCAGGAGGCAGCTGATTGATATCTCTCTCTCATTGATGTTTCTAACTATCTCTCTCCTTTCCTCTCTGTAAAAAAATCAATAAAATATATATATATATTTTAAAATAAGAGGTTATTTTGCTGTCATGAAACTTAGATATAGATGAGTTCAGAAGAATCCAAATATATGCTGATGCAAGAAAGATACCTGTTTTAAAAATCATATTATGCCTTGCATGAATTAATTAATGGATTAATTTAGTGTCTTGTAAGTTGTTTCTTCAATTCAACTAAACATTTGGCATGACCACAGTTTAACTGAATTAAGGACTGGGTGGTGCTTTGAATTAACATCAGATGCTAGCGGTCATCCCCACCCAGTCACCCTTTCATCCTCAGGCCTGTCCTTGAACATGGCATGTGTTGTCCAGGCATCCACCGCTCCACAGAGGCAGATAGACTCTGAGCATTACTTAATTGTTTCAATATTGAGGTCACTGTGTTCCACTCCTGGGATCTCAGTACATGGAGAAACAACTTCATTCATTACGTAACACTTCAGGCAGCATAACAGCACGAACTTGGTCCCACACCAAACTCTGTTTCATTGAGAAGAGCAGCCTTTAGCTCTAGTCTCCATTTAATTATGAAATTTGGTTGACATGTACATAGTCCTATACAATCTTTCTATTCTAGGACATCAATTGAACTAGAATCTCAGTCTATGGAGACTCCTGCTTACGTCACTGGTATACACACTACAAAGGGACATCCTTTCAAAATGATTGCCTAGAAGAAATTGTACATGTAAATGTATTACCATTCAAATGGCGAAGTAAGTTGTGGCCTCTGTTATCTACAGAGGAAATGTTTTGGGCCAGGGGCCAATGTGAAGGAGCCAAGCCCCGCTTTAACCAAGAAAAATTGGCATATTTTTATAACCGCCTCCAGGGAAAAGATGCCTCACACATGACCTAACAATTGCCTGGAACAGATGAAGTTAATTTTTCAGAGTCTCAAGGCTCAAGGCTCATGGGGTTAAGGGATTACTATTCAAGAGGGAGCTTAACACCAGATATCTGACTGGCTCGCTGGACCCCCTGACCTAAGTCATCAGGAAGTCCTTAACAAGCAAGCAATACATAGGAACCAGCGGTTTTGATTTCCCAAGGAAAGCAAATGTGTCCACTACACGCAGAAGACAGGTGCACGTATCTTAGAAATGCAAAGCCCCGTTTCATTTATATGGGAACATCAGGGATGCAGTTAACACAACAACCAAAGGGGACTTCTCTATCACAAACAACGAGAAGTTGTTTCTTTTGCTTCCACTGAAGAATTAATTTGGGCAAAGGGAACAGACCCTGGGAAGCACCGATCCTGAGCACTCCAGACCAGAAGATGTCTACACTTGCTTCTCCAAAATGCCAATGGGCATGCCAGGGCGAAGGAGGTGGAGGGGACGGAGATACCCAGATGGAAATGATAGTGGTGTGACCTTAATTGAAGAAGAAATGCTTAACATGTCTAGCAGATGTCTCATTAAAGTGCAGCTCTGGGGGAGGAGGAGGCCAGAAGAAATCTGAACGAAGAGGAAGGAGGTCCACAGGGTTGGGATTTTTGCTCCAACAGCTCTTGTCCCCCCAAAAAAGAAAGTCACTCTAAAGATTCCAAGGACAAGAGGAATGGCTTGTAGCACTCCCTCGAGCATATGTATTATCACTGAGAAAGCTAACTGAAGACCCCCTGCCCCCAAACTCCCCTAGCGTTCTTCATCCAGAGTCATCAAAGCCCTTTCTACATGCCGCCCTCATGGTAGCTCTGGGAGGTAGGGAGCATAATTCTACTTTTACCCATAAGCAAGCTAAGGCACAGGGAGAGCCTGAGAGACAAACGTGAGTTCGAATTTTATTCCATGCGCACACTCCCTCCATACTGATGTGGGCAACTAGGAAGGGTCCTTACAGGGGACAATTCTAAGAGCCAAACATGACTCTGGGAAGACAGTACATCTCCTAAGGCGCCCTGACTGAGTCCAGGAGATGCCCTCCAGGTCAGGTGCCAATATGCATGGCCCTCTTGAGGAGACCGAATCACCATGATTATAGGAAAAAGGCTACCTACCACCTTCCTGTTTCCCCCACTGCTGAGACCACAACAATCTTAACAAACCATATGCTCCAAGGAACTTCAGTTCTTAAATCTTCGTCTCAACTGGTGCAGTAAAATTCCAAGACCTATATTTCGCTAATGATGTTGACGTTTCTCATCAGATCATTTCCAAATCCTTGGTCCCAGACAATTCTCTTTTATCATAATCACCTCATCTGTATAAAACGTGATGCCAGGATCTGAAGCAAATAATGCATCCGGTCAGCATATACTGGTTCTATGTATTTTGAGACAGGCTCAAGTACACAAAGGAAGCGTGCAATGTTAAGGAGAGGATGTGAGTGACATGGGTGGCTTGTCGAATGGAGAATCCAGGGTCCTTTCAGGAAACTGAAGATACTCAAAAGTTGCTCCTCGATTTCTTATGAACAACCCTCCACAAGTGAACATTTCCATTTGATATAATACAAATATACAAAGTTAAAATAAGTGTGCAATTCAGAATGGCCTACCATTTTCAGATTGCGTATAGTGCCAGAAAATATACAGTCAATAAAAAAATACCAGAGAGGCGGGCACAAAAGGCTCTCTGGATCTGTACGCAAAAATGAGTTATCACTTCAGCAGGAAGTGATCTGTGGAGAGGGTGGTGTCCTTGAAACCAGAGCTGGGAGATGGCAGGTCACAAGTCTGGTGATGAAGGATACGATGTATAGAAAGGCCCATTTTCCTGTGGAAAGAAAGAAAGACAAGAACCCTACGTCATAAGATCCCTTTTACTGGGAACTTAAAAGAAAAGGATTTAGAGTCAACGACTTCATACATATAAAACGTCTAGCGCAAGCCATCAGAGCAGTTCCCTGGTAACAAGGGTTGGTGCACAATAGGTAGAGGTGAGCAGGATGATATGATTGTTTTAATAACATGACCACTTACTGAATATTCTAAATGCTAGAAACTTTATCAGCATTTTTCTTTCCTTATCCCTTTACATCCTCCCAGAATGCTCTGAAGTAGGTGACAACCTCATTTTACAGAAAAGGAACGTGAGGCTCACAGAGACCACCTAGCTAGTCACCAGCAGAGCCCGTGTTTGAATCCACGGCCAATAGAACACAGCGCACAGATTCTTTGTTGTTAGACTGCGTTATCTTACTGTGCGCTGAATCTTAATATAGAGTCAGAGAACAAAAGGAACGGTCGCTGAAGCATTTAATAACCATAACTTTCTTGGCAGAAATGAGTCTTCTCCATTCCATGCCTGAACATCCAGGCTTGTACCAATGGCAGGTCTCAGGGTGCTTAGTTCAAGATCAAAATAGAGAATTAAATGCCAGAGCTTTAATGGCAAATATAGAAAGCACCGCATCCATGTCAAGGAAGTTTCTTGACCTCATTCTGGCTAAGTTTATCTTAATAAAAAACAAAGCAGTTAACTTTATAGGAGATGGACTCCAGATTCCACTTATAAGATTGAAGATTCACTTCTCATTTTTAAAGAAAGCATTTCTTTTGACAAACAACGTATTTTTCAGGAAACCTTAAACAAAATGTGTAGCATTAATGTAAGATAGCAGTTGGAAATGGAAAGTGAGGGGCAGGATGAAAACGGCAGTGCTCGCCAAAGCTGGTTTGGCTCAGAGGATAGAGCATCAGCCTGCAAACTGAGGGTCCCATGTTCGATTCTGGTCAAGGGCATGTACCTTGGTTGTGGGCACATCCCCAGTGGGGGGTGTCACCAAAGGAGGCAGCTGATGGATGTTTTTCTCTCTCTCATCGACATTTGTAACTATTTCTCTTCCTTCTTTGCTGTAAAAAAAATCAATAAAATATATTTAAAAAAGAAAAAGAAACGGCACTGCTCTACGGTATATTTACATGACAGTGGGTGAGGAGCATTAAATCTACCCAGTCTTTCTTTTTTTAAAATATAAATATATATATGTTGATTCCAGAGAGGAAGGGAGAAGGAGAGAGAGAAAATATCAATGGTGAGAGAGAATCATTGATCAGCTGCCTCCTGCACACCCCGCACTGGGGATCGA